AACACTTTATAAACCCATACTGTAGTCATTGCTTATAGATGATATATGTTTATGTGCTAGTTGTAACATATGATTCTTCTGGAATTTCATTTACGACGTGAGATTTTGTACATAATTATCTAGCCTTTAAATAAAATTCATTATTACAGTTGGGATGGGCTTGGAAACTTGGCTTCAACTGAGGCTATGCGCCTTTTTGTGAAAATTTTAGAGGTAAGGCTAATATAAGCTTGGGTTTACTTAAGGTATGACTGCAAGCACACTCCTCATCACATGAATTGTGTCTTTAGGAAGAGGATCCTACATGGTATTCAAGGACACCAGAATTGGTCGAGGGTCCTATTGTAGACGTGGAAATGAATGTGAGTTCCTCCAATCTTTTGGTTAATAGGTTTCATGGAGAAATTCTTTTCAATGGGATTTTAGTTTTGACTGAAAAAACATACACTGTGAATCAGTATTTTTTTTGCTATTTCTGCCGTCCACTATAACTTTTATCAGAAAATTTTGACATGGTGTTTGTAGGATAACGCTCATGATAGAAATGTTGTATGGTAAAACTATCCTTCATTTATTCTTTTTGTTATTTGTACTTTCATAGGCAGCAGCTTGAACAAGGTGCAAGGGTGGAAGATATGATGATTGAATGTGATGGAATAAAATATTATAATGACATGAAAATTGCAATCAGCAGAGGTTTTTTATTGGGATAGGAATACTTGATGATCATCTTTTTTTGGGTGATAAAACCTATAGCTTAGAACCCTGGTGTTATAAAGCTCACTGTTAGAAAGCTAAAATTTTGAAGCTAAAATGCATTACTTTATCTTAGTCAACTAATTGATAGTATGAAGGTTCTGGGAAATTATTGGTTAAACTTGAGGACAAGTATGGAGCTTGTTGCAACTGCAATTGATTGTGGACTTGGGAGAATTGCTTGGGATTGACTATCTAGTTTTTTGGATTGAAAATTTGAAAGGTATCATCATTAATCTCAAATTTATGAAATTTTATCTCATTAAAAACTCATGGTTGCATCTTTCCTTCTCTAATAAAGAAGTCTATTTGATTATATAATCCTTGGCAATGCTGATCATTTCTACAATGAAGTGAAAGATCTTATAAATGGTGTGTGGGTGTCGTTGGAGTGGCTTTTCTTCTTTCTAAAATACATTTGAAATAATCACAAGCGTGTTAGATTTTTCTTTTTCTTCCTTTTCTCTAATTTTCCTTCGTCATAGAAGCCAAACCTGGACTCCACCTCCCCAAATGGAAACTCTCATCTAGAACCAATATCTATAATTATAGAAAGCAGAAATATGTTGGAAACTCAAAATAAAGATGTCATATTGGAGGGTCTAGCTGTAGTTAGTATTTATGATAAGTGGATTGGACCTTCTATATTTGGAAAATACCCAAAGCCAAAAGATAAGGTATTTACCAAGTTGTCTTTCTTGTTATACAATAATTTTATCTTTATTGTTAGTTTCTGACCCTAAATGTTTCAATCTTAAAAGCACGAGACAATTGTAGTGCAAAATAAAATGTATGTTTTTGGAAGAAACCACAATAGATATTACCTTAATGATCTTTAGGTGTGTCATGTTAGTTGTCTATTGATAAGTCTTTATTATCATGAGTTAATAATTAATAAATAATATAAGTTTAAACTTAACTCATGATAAATAGACTTATATTTATGTTAATTTATGAAAAGATATTTTTAGTTAGTTAATGTGTTTTTTAGCTAATTATGTGATTTTATATGAACTTATATGATTTTTATAATCTTATTTTTGAGATAAATAAAATAATAATAAAAATAAAATGGGGGGATCTGCTGGCCAACTATCCCACAAGGGGGTTGGAAGTGCAATCGGGGTGGAGCCGTGAGCAAGGGCTTGAGTGGTTATGGACTGGGGGGACATGTGTGTCACTCCCCTTTCATTTCACTGATGGCCAACCAGCTATGGGGTAAGGAGTGGTCATACACACGAGAAAGGGACTCATTGATTCCCAAATCTCACATTACTGTATATGTGTCTTCACATTTGACATATAACTAATGTGGGACTAAACCAACAATCACACCTTTCTCAAAATGTTTTAAATATTTTAATATAAAAAATACTCCTTATTTATAATTGCTAGATATCATGATGATGTCACTAAATAAAGGTATTTGAGAACTTATTCCCTCTCCCATGTAGGTGGAGGATCGATGTGGATTCGAATTCTACCAAAGTCAAAACTCATATTTTTATTTAATTGAATTACAACTTTTTTACAGATCTCCGGTGAAGGATTAAGCCATCATAATCGTTTGATCATCAGTGAAAATCTTGTCAACGTGATTTGCGGAGTATTATTATTAAAATTATTGAATGATTCATGATAAAAGGATCACAAATCTATTGAGTAAATCATCTCCAATTGATAAACAAATAAGCCGTTGTTAGGAAGAAGATGATATGTCGAGAAACGAGTCACTACCTTTTGAGAGCGTACTAAATGTAATGAAGAGTCTCCTCTTGTTGTGCAAATCTGAGGATAAAGTTCCCTGACATACACCCTACCTCCATCTAGCTCTTCTTTGTCAAGTGATGGCTACCAAAGAGCCTAAAAAAGTTACTATTTTTTCGCTCCACCAAGTGACAACTGTCGAAGACAATTTAAAGACTCATTTCATTGATCTTTAGACATCGCAAGAAGATCTACAGATTGGTCACGTCGTCCTTGTTTAAGAAGAACCTTTGAGGCCATAGACACTATTCAATAATCCTCTTGAACACTCGAGATTTTGGTGTATTGTCGACATATTGCTATCGTGACATTAGAACTTTACTTTCTTATTTTTAACTTAATTTTTCTTCATTCAGTGATAATTTGTATGATTTAAATTTACCAAACTATTCTTTATTCAATTACAATTCTTCTGGTTTTTAAAGATCTTAATTTGATCAATTAAATCATCTATAATTACTTACATAAGAATCACTGAGTAGAATAAATACTTCTAAATGTGATATTACTATATATTTATTCAAAACTTTGGCATACAATCATTGTGAGACTAAACCCAAGTCACACCTTCACCAGAATAGTTTCTATGATTTTAATATCTAAAATATCCCTTAGTTATAACAACAATATATCATGATGACATCACTTTATAAGGGTATTAGAGTACTTATTTGAATCTCTCTCGTATAGGTAGGTGACTGACACGGGTTTGAATCTTATTAGAGCTAAAACTTATATTTTTATCTAATTAAATTATAACTTTCTTGTAGATTACTGATGAAAGATTAAGTCGATAGAATCGTTGAATTATTAGCAAAAATCTTGTCAACATGATTCGCGAAGTATTGTTACTAAAATTTATATGATTCGCAATAAAAGGATTACGAATCTATTGAGTAAATCATCTCTAATTAATTGATGAATAAGTCATCTTCAAAAAGAGGACGATTCACCGGGTGACGAAGAGCCTCCTCTTGCTACATGAATCTGAGGATGAAGCTCCCTAATATGTGTCCTACCTCCATCCAGCTCTTTTCTATCAAGCGATAGTCACTAGAAAGTTACAAAGTCGCTATTTTTTTGCTCTGCAGGAGACCATTTGATGACTCATTTGATTGATCTCTAGACTTCGCAAGAAGATCAAGAAATTACTCACATCATCCTTATCCAAAGAAAGCCTTCAAGGTCATGGATACTACACAATAATCCTTCCAAATACTTATGATTCTGATACATCACCAACACATCGCCGTTGTAACGCCGTAACTCTATTTTCTTGCTTTCAACTTAATTTTTACTTCATTTAGAGATAATTTGTGTGATTTAAAAATTTTAAACTATTTTTTATTTAATTACGATTCTTCTGACTTTTACAAATCTTAATTTAACTAATAAAATCATCTGCCATTTCCATTTCTCTTATTTTCGTGATGTCTTTGCCCTTTATTTTTATTTTTTTGTAAATTTTAAATATATTTTATTTTCATTTCTTATTATAAAATTCATAAAAAATCATATTCTTTGAGAAAAATATTATTATATTACATCTTTGTGATTGACTTGAAATTTTTTTACTATTTTTATAACTCTTATTCTATTAGAATCAAATTATTTGTTCAGAAATACTTCTAAATATCTGAAAATTAGCATTTTTTAGTTTTTTAAATTTTAAATCTACATGATTTACTATACAATGACTATGCCATGTAAGTACACTTTATATCATTTGATCTCATTAGTTTTCTATTTTTTTGAGATTAGTACTTTGTTGCTACATGAGTAGTTTGGTGAATGAGTCTTTATATCTCTTTTATTATTGAGTGTTTTCTATGGTTGCTTCAATATGCATTTAGTTTTTCTCAAATGAGTTGTGTTATTATGATTTATCAAAACTAAATATACAGAGGATGTGGAATAATCAGTTTAACTTTTCAATGAATTTAGCTTGAATTCATCTTTTTTTGTGTAAGACAACTTTTGAAACATGCATGCTGCTTGTTTATGTTTGTGATATAACTTTAATACGTAAAGCCACAAGTAGGAAGAGGTTTCAGCTAGAGTTTTAAGTTTATGTTTTGTAATATTGATACATTTCTAATATAGAAATGTAGTGATAAGATATCATACCAGATCTTGATGTAACCCTCTGATAAGAACACCTTGGTAGCCCCCTCCTAGAAAACTCTAGCCGAATGCAGCCCTCTCCTCCAAGAAAACTAGTCTAGGGAAGCCAATATCCAAAAGTTCCCCTTCCATCCTTCCTTTCCCTTATTTATAAAGGTCCTTCCCTTCTAATTCCCCAAAAACGCGATCAAGAACCGGTTTCCTTATTTATCATGGTCATCCCCCTTTTATTCTACGAGGTCAACATGACTTGGTAGGCATGAGGGCCCCACTTATTGAGGGTTGCCCAAGTCAGCATGATTTGGAGTAATAGTTGGGTCCACATCCTGGCCTTTAGGCCCTTCTTTAATCCCTCATCTCTTCCTCTTCTCATTTACTTTTATTGGGACCATATTGTTAACCCCCTCATCAACAATCACCTTGTCCCCAAGGTGAAGATTTGGAAACCAAGCTTGAATGATGAACAATGATTCTCAAAGAGTACTTTAGAACAATGATGAACAATGATGAACATTGGGTAAACCATGCCACTTAATGAAAACTTCCACCCTCCTATTCCTTTGTCTTGTAGAGAGTACTTTAGAAGGGTACATTGTCTATTCCATGTCCTTTGTGAATGATGGAGGTAACACTTGATGAGATACATCCAGTCTAATTGCTTTTCTTAGTTTGGATATATGAAAGATGAGATGAATGGAATAGTCTTGCAAAAGGTCTAGCTTATAGGCCACTGGCCTTACTTATTTGAGCACTATGAATGGTTTGAAGAATTTCAAAGAGAGTTTCTCATTAACCCTTTTATCCATTGATTTCATTATATAAGGACATAGCTATAAATATACACTATCGCCCACATTGAATTCTAATTCACGATGTACATCTGCCTTTTTCTTCATCTTGGCTTGAACAAATACTAAATTCTATTTTAACCAGCTGAGGATGGTATCTCTCTCTTGTACCATAGTGTCCATTGAATCAATGGGAGAAGTCAGTGCGCCATAATACAACAATTTTGGTGAGTGACATACATAAATAGCTTTGAAAGGAGTCATCTAAATTGATGAATGAAATGCCATGTTACATGAATACTTTACCCAATGCAACCATTTAGCCCAAGATTTTGACTTTTTAGATGTAAAATAGTGTAAGTAGGTCTTGGGACACTGCTTTACCACCTCAATTCAACCATCAGTTTGGGGATGGTAAGATGAGCTCATCTAAAGTGTTATTCCCTAGAGGTGAAATAGTTCCTTCCAAAATACACTAGTAAACACTTTGTCTCTATTTGACACTATTGATGTAGGAATTCTATGTAATCTCACAATTTCTTTGATGAATTGTCGGCCATGATAGTTGATGTGAAAGGGTGTTTTAGTAGAATAAAATGGCTAAATTTGCTCATCCAGTCAACCACAACTATTATATAATTGTAACCATTTGATTTAGGCAATCCTTTAGTAAAGTTCAATGAAATTTCTTTCCAAATTTGCTCAAGAATTGGTAGGGGCTGTAATAAACCTACTAGAGAAAGAGAGGATATTTTGTTCACCTAACATTTGTGAGATTGATCCACATAACTTTTTATGGTGTGCTTCATTCTAGGCCAAAACAGATCTTGGGCAATTCTCTTATAAGTGCGTCGAAAACCAGTGTATCCTCTAGAAGCCGAATCATGATAAGTCTACAAAATGGAAGGTATTAAAAGCAAACTAGTAGATAACACTAGCCTCCTTTTATACAATAATGGGTTGTGGTGGAGTTTGAATTTGGGATGTGATAGTGGATTGGCTTGTAATTCTTGAATTAGCTTCTGCCACTTTGGACCTTGATCAATCTCATTCTTGATCTAAATTGTGTCTAGGACATGTACTTTGGAGACATTAAGTTCTTGAAGTTCTAACATGACTAGAGAGCGAGATAAGGCATTTGCTACTATATTATTGTGTCCTGACTTGTATTCGATATCAAAATTGAATCTCAACAATTTATAAACTCACTTGCTATATGATTCTTAGACCTACTTCTAGCATAACAAACACTTTAGGCTATATTGATCTGTTTTAATAGTAAATGACATGTGAGATAAGTAGTGGCGTCACTTCTGAACAGCGAAAATAATAGTCATTAGCTCTCGTTTATAAGTTGATTTTACTTGGGTTCTTTTGGGTAGAACTTGGCTGAAATATGCCACTAGTCTTCTAGTTTGAGTAAGTATGGCTCTCACCTTGATATCGAAGGCATCAATTTCAATAACAAATGGAACATTGAAGTTAGCTAAGGCCAATATTGGCATCGAACTCATAGTTGTCTTGAGATTATCAAATGCTAGTTGTGCTTCTTGATGCCATGTAAATGCATCTTTTTTGAATAAGGTAGTTAAAGGAGTAGCTTTTTGCAAGTAATTTTTAACAAAATGTCAATAATAATGTGTTAATCCAAGGAATCTTCTTAATTGTTTGAGTGTCTTGGGTGGTAGTCAATTGATCATTGCATCAATTTTTGCCTTGTCTACCATGACCCCTTGTAGAGAAATCCAATGTCCTAGGAATTCAAGTTCTTCACAAGTAATTTGGCATTTTTAGGATTGACATGAAGGACATTGTCATTCAGGACTTGAAAAACTTGGCATAGATGTTCGATAAGAAGAAGAACAAAGATCACTTCAATCAAAATATGCATGAAACATAAATAATGTGTTATGAAATATTAAAAAAATAACAAAAGTAGGTAAGTAAATGTTGAAAGTAGGAAGTAAATCATTGCCCAAGTTTAGTCTGCCTCCTAGATAACTAGAGACACTAGTGTGGTGGTGACTTGGTTTCATCCCACGTCAAAAGTCACAGAAGGAGCTGCAACTTCTAAAGCATTGCACCAAGGCCGAGTATCATCCAAAAGCATTGCATCACTTGCTAGAGAGATCTGCCAAAAGAAGGGTCGACCACATTGTCACCATCACCTAGAAGAAGAAGAGAAGAGCTGGTCACTCGTCGGAGGCCTTGATGCAATCAAGGGAGGAAGAAACAAACTTGCCGATCACCGGAGGTGTTGATCACATAAAAAGGAGGGAGGAAACGAATTGTCATATTTGTGACTGCTATCAGGATTTTAAAGATAATTGATAATATATGTTTTATCAGATAATAATTAATTATTGTGTTTATATCTAAATAGTGATATGTGCAAGAGCTTAAGTTTCCAGTATTGTGGCACTCTAAGAGCTACTAGATCAGATGTGCTCACTCACATGGTGCACTGAGCGACGTAAGATCAACCCATCACAAACTACTGATGACTAGGAACTTAAGTCCTTAGTACCATGGCAACTCCTTACTCATCGGATCATCATTTAAAGTCACGTGCATGCTAAACAACATTGGATTCACAAACTGTCGATGGATCACTTTACACATCTAGTATCATGATGTCTCTCTCACTGCATGATCTAACTTATCTAATGATGTGACTCACTGAATACCACTGGTTCACATCGTGCTCCAAATGGCTAGCCAAGACACATGAAAATGTTTAATCCCACATCGAAAATATTTTGACATATGAGTTGAATATAAATCAAAGCTACTGTCTCTCATCAGAGATCAATTCTCTCGAAATAAAAATAATGCCCAAGATCATCTTGGGAGAAGTAAAAAAGGTGGACCACCCTCGCATGTGCATGTGTGTACGCTGTTCTTTGCTTCATGACCAATTGGCCACTAAGATGTGAAAAGGGAGTGACACACATGCACAGAGCGAGTCCTTCACCACTAAAGCCCAATTCGTGGCTCCCCCAGTCTAGGTCTACCACTCAACTACAACACCCCTCCAAGTGAGCTGCCGAATGTCGGCTTGCCAATAGGTAGAATATTTTTATATTTTTAAATAATAAAAAATTATGCTAAGTATTTTAACTTCAAACTTCTAAAACTAATAGTATATACTATATTTATTTTATAATTTAAGAAATAAAATAAAATAAGAAAACTAATTAAAACACAAAAATATTCAAAAATGAAAAGGAAAGAAAGAAGTAGAAAATATCACAAAAGTAAATAACTCATTTTCCTTAGGAAAAATTTTATTTCACATTTCATTACAGCATACAAAAATCAGAGATAATGAAAAAAATGAAAAATGCATTAAGTTGGCTTGTATGAATCTAAACAAAATTAGAGCTTTATTAATAGTTCCTTCTAATTTGATTTATAAGATATAATTAGAAGACGTATGGTTAGGTTCTGTTTTGTATATTTGGTGGAGAAGAATGGTTGACCATAATGTCACTATCATCTGGAGGGAGAAAAGAAGAACTAACCACTTACTAGAAGCCTTGAGTGCAATCAAGGGAGGAAAGAGCGAGCTCTCAGATCACTAGAAATATTGATTGCATGAAAGAGAGGAAGAAATAGATGTCATTGAGATTTTAAAGATAATCAATAATATTTATTTTTCTAAAAAATAATTGAGAACTATCTTTACATCTATAATGTCAATACATGCAAAAACTTAAGTTCCTAATATTGTGATGCTTCGCCTATTGTGAGATCAACTTTCTTTGGTCACGTGGTGTGTTGAGCATTGCAAAATAACCTATCATAAATTATTGTCAATTGGGAACTTAAGTTTCCACTATCATGATGCTTCAAGTAGTCTCTAGTTATGTGGCATGCTAAGTGACATAGGATCAGCCATCACAAACTGCTGCCATATGAATGCTTTAAGCTTTGGGTATCATTGCACTTAACCCACCATAAGATCAGCCTTTTTAGGTGACATGGTGCCCTGAATGCCACAGGATTTGCCAATTGCAAACTGGTGCAATGAAACATGGAAATAAAGTTGTCTCACATTAGTTTTTCTGACGTATATGGTGCGTATGTATTATAAGGCTTCCTTTTCTCTCTAACAAGTCCCCAATCCAAGCATAAGCCATGGGCGATGGGGATGGTTGTCTATAGCCCATTTAAATATCATATAATAAATATTATATTTTATTATTTCCTTTTTAAAAAAAGAAATACATTAACTCTTTTAACTTCTAACCTTCAAAATTAATCATCTAAAACTATATTTTCTTCTATGAATTAAAACAATAAACTACTTAAATGAAATAAACTAAGAACTAAAAATCAACCATTAATAGTACACTACCACAAGTACGACAGTGTTCTTATAAGAATTAAGAAGACCCTGCACAAAATCTATTGTGATGTCATCCCAAACATGTTTTAGAATTGGTAGAGGCTGCAAAAACCTAGTTGAAGATAGAGAATCCACCTTGTGTTGTTAGTAGATGTTACATTCGGATACAAATTGCTTGATCTACTTTTTCATCTCATGTCAAAAAATATATTGAGAAATCTGTTTGTATGTGCTTAAGAACCCTAAATGCCCTCCCAAAAAATTATTATTATATTCATCCAACAATAGAGAAATCAATCGTGAAGGGAGGGGCAATATCACTCTTTACTTGTCATAGAAGAGGCCATTGCAAGGGAACAATAGGGTTGTGTATCCATATCTTGCTTCAGACAGTGGATGATCTTTGCTAATTTAGGGTTTGTGTCCACCTCATTCCAAACTGGCTATAAATTCA